TATTAGGGGGAGGTTCGTAAGTCGAAACAGAGGTTCGTAGGTTGAAACAAGTCCTTAGTTACAAAGGCAGTGGGCTGAAATGCTTTGGAGGCGTCCCGAATCAGCGGCCGCTGCCACTGCTGCTGCTGCTGAAGCCGCCACCGCGCCCAGCACCGCCGCCACGACCGCCTTGGCCGCCACTGCTGGGTCCTCGGCTGCCGTAGCCGCCTTGACTGCCTCCTCCGAAACCGCCTTGGCTACCGCCGCCGTGGCCGCCTCTTTGTCCGCCGAATCCGCCGCCCTGCTGCTGGCCACCGCCGAAGCCGCCCTTTTGTCCTCCGCCGAAGCCGCCGCTTTGACCGCCGCCGTAACCGCCGCTCTGCTGGCCTCCGAATCCTCCCTTTTGGCTTCCGCCGCTGCCGCCGCCGAAGCCGCCCTTTTGACCGCCGCCAAGTCTGAAAAAAAAATTATTTTTTTAGGCATGAACGGTCAAGAAAATTTTGGAGAAAAGTCAGCTGAAGAGAAAAACATGAATAAACTATTGTCTGTTCAGACTTTTCTAAAGCCAACAAAAGTTTTCAAGAGGCTCATTAATTGATTTTTCAAAAAAAATTTAAGCTACTGTAATATGATACGTTTTTTGTTACATAAAAAATAACACACATTCACAATTATTTTCAAAGCTTTTCTTATTAAACATACAAGTATATACTGTATTTTGATTAAGTCTTCATCTGTGAGTTTGGTAAAAGTTTTCAACTAAAGGGGTCTGGAAAATGTCAATTAAACCCACCATGAAGGAAAATCAAACTGTTTGAAGGGGGACTTGGCTAATGGAAAATGTACTTACAAAATTGAATAAAAAGTCTTTTTGTGAGAAAATTTGTTTAACCTGATTGGGTAGCAAGAATTGGTGAAACTGGGTACACTCAAAGGGAGCAAACACTGTAATTTAAATTCTGTACTGAAATTGCTGTCAGAAAAAAATCTGACAAAGATGAAAGTAATTCAGACCCTGAGATTGATCATACAAGCAGTCTGAGACCATCTAATATTTGAAAACTGAGAGATTGAAGCTGAATTCAGACTTTCTGAGTGGCTGTACTGTATTGTATATAGTAACCTAAGAACATGAGGTTCATATAATGCAGTCTGTGAATTCAAGGTCAAGGTTTTCTCTTCAAAGTAATTCAGACAAAGTTCCAATTCATCTTTTTCAGTTCAAGTTAACTTCATAAAAACTCAGCATATGAATTTATGGTCAAGGTTTCCCACTAATAATTCAGACAAAATCACAATTCCTCTTTTCCTGGTCAAGTTTAGTTCTGGTAGATTTCAGAGTATTCTTTTCCAGTTTGAATTAGTTTTGAATCAACCTTTCATCAAATATGAATGAATCCCTCAGGGTTTACAGGAGATGTTTTCTGTGGCCAGAAAAAAAAATCAGTTGGTTTTTTTTTTTCATGTGCTTGTGATAATGTCTGACAGCATCAGAACTGAGGAATTGTTCTGATCATTTCCTCATGTTGTGGAAGTGACTTATTTTAAAAACTTAATTTTGGCAAGGCTTATATGCTGGGAAAGCAGCAATTTTTGGTCAGCAGCACAGCAGTAGTTGGCACAATAATCAACATGTGCAAAAATTGGAGTGATCAAAAGGCCCTGTACTATGTGTGCATAATTGAGGAAATGGAGACAGAGGCTCCATCTGTGGGATGATGAAAAAACTCATCTTTGGCTTGTAATGCGACTCACCCTCCACTGCTGCCGCCACTGCCGTAGCCGCCGCCGCCGCCGCCACCACGTCCGCCTTTCGATTGCTGCTGGCCGCCGCCACCGAAGCCGCCGCCTTGGCCGCCCTTTTGTCCTCCAAAACCGCCGCTTTGGCCGCCACCGAAGCCGCCCTTTTGTGCTCCGCCACCTCCGAAGCCGCCGCTTTGGCCGCCTCCAAAGCCGCCCTTTTGTGCTCCGCCACCTCCGAAGCCGCCGCTTTGTCCGCCTCCGAAACCGCCTTTTTGTCCACCACCGA